TTTGGGTTTTGTTGAGGAGAATCCAGTTGATATAACTCATCCTTAAGCTTCCCTTGTAGCAATACCTTCCTCATTTGCTTGTCCTTTACAAAACAGCAGTTAGAATGAAACTCCATATACACTTGATTATCACAGGTTAGTTGTGAAACACTTATAAGGTTCTTCTTTATTTCAGGCACAAGGAGCATCTTATTTAACACAAGTGTTTTGTCATTCAATGTTGGGATATGGGTAATGCCAAAATGTGAAATAGATAACTTACTCCCATTACCAACCATCACTTTCTCCTTACCAGTGTATTCTTGTGGCGAGGTGACATTTTCCTTCATTGCTGTAATGTGATTACTGGCCCCACTGTCTGCAAACCAAGCTGGATCACTTACAGTGTTAGGTGAGGCTATAAATGCTGTTGGAGAGGGGCTGTAATTAGTTCTGTGACTTGGTGGAGTGCCTGAGTATCTCTCATCATATCTGAAATTGAATATATTTGCTTTGTGTCCAATCTTGCCACACACTTGGCAAACAAGTCTGTCATTCCCATAGGAGCCTCCACCTCTGTTTCTGCCTCTTCTTCCTCCTCTAAAGTTATTGTAGTTGGTGAACCTTCCTCCAGGATTTGGCCTAAAGGACCTGAAGTAAGATTGGTTTGAACCTGACCTTTGAGTGAAATTGGCTGAAGGCTGCTCCAGGTTGATACCTGCAAGTTCATTTCTAACTGAGTTCAGGTGTTTAAGTCGACTTTCGAATGTCATGAGTGTTGATTACAGTTCTTCCCAGGTGATGTGATCACGGCTGTTGATCTGAACTACAATTGGTGTGTAGTCTTCATCTAGCCCAGCCAAGACTTGAGTAATTAGATCAGCAAGAGGAATAGCTTTTCCAGCTATTTCAAGATTATCAGCAAGTAGTTTAACTTTGTTCAAATACTGATCAATGCTTAGTGCTCCTTTCCTTGATTTCTGAAGTTCACCAGTCAAGAATGTGATTCTTGATCTATTTTGCACACCGTAACTTTCTTTCACAGCTGACCATAGTTCATTGGAGCTTTTAGCTCCCATTACTCTCATTGCAATGTCAGGAGTCATTGAAGAGTAAAGCCA